CATCTGATAAACCACAAAAACGTCACATCCGAACCCTATTTAAGACAACAGGGGGTTATTGCAGCAGCACATTTGAAAAGGCGAGAAAAGTATTGGTGCGGGTATTCTGAAAGCGAAAATCCCTCGTTAGGAGCTTGGGAAGGAAGACAATAATAGGAGAACCAACATCAGCAAACGACGAAGTGGTATATATATATATATATATATATATATATATATATATTCAAACGACCAACCGCAAACAAATAATCAGATGGTATTTGCTTCCTACATCAGGAACTCTCGAGGTCAGTAGGCAGAGCATTTACGAAACCTAATTTCAAGAACAAGGGATAATGCTGAGAGAAACAAGCAAGGCAAACCGACTACATCGGCCGTAGTCAGCTCTCTTTTGGACAAACCGGGGAAGAGCTATGCAGGAGAATAAGTGAACATAATGCAGACATCAGAAGGCAATGCCCACTAGATTAAATGTCCAAAGCTATAGTTCAAGACGACCACAAGTTCAGTCTACAATCTATTAGCACTCACATGTAACACAAGAAGTATGATAACCTATGAATGATTTGATCAACCAATGTATCTAATCAGACCAAAGATATGCACCAGCAAGTGCAAAAGAACAATGCCTCAAGTGAAGCAGACTTTTGGATTAGGAAACTGAGGGACAGGAACCCCGTGCAATCACACCAGTAGATGTTAGCGAACAGAATCTGGCGAGGTCATATCAGAGCTCACACCCTTGTATAAGAACTGGAGAGGCGAAGCTAGGGAATCACAAGGACGTCGACTAATCAGAATGCGTATGAACGAAAGTGGAAGCCATTAGCAACAGCTAACCGTAACCTATCGTTCTCGGCTAAATAATAAGCATACCAGCATACTCAAAGCACAACCACTTGCTCATAGCTCCGCCAAGGTACAGAACGGAGCGCTGACATTGTCACCCCATCTGTGACAAAACATTCACCACCACATTACTCTACCGAGTAAGCAAACCAACAACCATCGTCACCAAGTATGCTGGTGGCATCAAACAAGGATCTCAGCTAACTATACACCACCTCTGAAGAGCCAACACCTGCAGAACCAGCAATCTTCTTGGGGAAACTCCCTTTTGGAGGTAAACTTGGAGCTCTATTTTCGCAGCATTCTTCTTCATGGTTGGGTCAGCAATAACTGAAATGACGGAAAGTGCGTTCAAGAGTTATTCTATCGATTTACAAAACTGGTGAGCAAACTTAGTATTGAGATTAAACTCGAGGACATGGACAGAACAGACAGCCGCACCAAATCACTTTCTAATCAATCAAGATGAAGTGTGCTTGACTTGGGTTCGAGCAGAAATCCAATTGTGTAAGTGGATTTGAAATATACTGATTTGCAAACCAATTTGGTTTTACTTGAAAAAACCATAAACGCGAGTGTCAGCTGGGTTCTAGCTGAGTCTCTCGCAAAACTAAATTGGTTTGCAACGAAATTTCGTGCAGTTTGGCCTCAAGCAGAACGTACGCTTGACGAAAAGTCGGGGAGTGCGCCTCCCTGAAGAGCCCGAAAAGGAGGAAATCGGTCGTGGGCTGTCGGATGATTTTCATCAGTCTTATGAGTAGTGTTTTACGTCAAAATTCGAACTGGTTTCACCAGTGTCTTCAGATTAACAAGCCACAGATCCCGATCAATTTTAATTATACAGCCAATTTGACCTATTCGTCAGTGGGAGCAAAGTTATGATCTCCGTTCGGAGTGGACACAAAGTGAACGCAACAATTCGCTGGGGCTGATGAGTACCACTCAGGTCTTATGCACCAAAGTACATCGGTGTAACGAAAAACCGATGAAACGCAGTTTGTATTGCTTGAAAAAACGGACTGATTACAAAAAGACAGAGCACTTATTATCAACCACTACTCCGAAAGTCTATAAGAAGCGTTAGATTCTATGACAATCATGTGCAAGAAAAATGGGTGCACGATGGAGTTGGCAGTAATGTAACGACCCACTGGTCACGAACATGGTGTTGGTATCTTATATCTAGCGTCCAAATTTGTTTAAACCGTGTTCATGCCTGGGTAGTACAAGAAAGGAGGTGAGATTGATATCAATTTGGTCTTTTCGAGTCACTTCATCAGGTTTGATTGGGTGATTTCAGTAGCATTCGCTGTGTAAAACCCCTCGTCGTATCGGCGTCTGATTGTGTTGCTGCATTCCCACTTGGCTAACCGATTTCGACCAATCATGCTTTGGGCTACATTATTTTGGTTATTAAATGCGGGTCCCAGAGCTGCTGTAATTGTTCCCATCGAGGTACAGTGAACTGTCTTCCTTAGTGTACTCTCTGTTAGTTCTGTACAAATTTACCAAAAATCGAAGCTTTACTTCTACTAGAGGGAGCAACGAAATGGGTGATTGTGCGTCAGACTACGCGCGATGATGACTGGTCACCATTACCTGTTGTGCTTCAACCTTCAAACGATATCGCTAACAAGTTAACATAGGTAAACAGTAGCTCGTCACGTTGGAAAACCTAACCAATTTGGCACCAAGTATTCACACGAGTGACAAGTGATCCATGTAGTTTACATTCTGTTCACTAACCAGCCACATTCTGACACATGGGTATGGTTGAGCTGAACTAGCCAATTGGTTTTTGCGTGCACTCAATTGCACCAGTTTCGTATTTTGCACCTGCACGTACCCACCTTTTCCGTGTCTCTGTCATGAGACACACTGGGTATTACGGTCTTACACCCTCATCCTCCACTTCAAGTCTTAGTATAAATATGTAATTTAAAGGATGTTCTGGGTTACCGCGCCATTCTGAAGCTGTACAGTCAATGGTCAGGTACCTAAACTGGCAATCCCCGTTTTAAGTTCACTTCGGCAGCATTTTACAATAAATGCCTCCTACATAAAGACAACATCGTGACGATAGCCCTTCCGTCTCGAAATAGACAGAAAACAGCCTACCAAGACTCCCTACAGAGCACGACTGACAACCATTCTGGTCTGCTATCCAACCGAAGGTTGCACGAGGGCTGGAATATTGCAAGGTCGCCCAAGCATAGACAGGGGAAGTCGAGGCAGGGGTCGGGTTCGAACCACGAAATTTCTGGTCAGTAAATTCGCACTCTAATCACTTGGGCCATCTCGCCGCAAACCATTCTGGTAAGAGGATACGTATCGCTTCCTTCGCATATCTGCTGATCAGTGCCCTGAGAAAACTAACAAATACTCACTTTTTCAAGACTCCAGAGCGTCAAATATGCACACTTCAGGCCACCAATGCCAAACCTACTGTGGTCATCCATGCGCAAATCTAAAGAGCAGTCAGCGTTCACTGGCAACTTTATTTCACTCGTTTTGGCATAAGTTGACTCTGAAAGTTAGTCACCAACTGACAGAAAAGAAGTGCAAGACAGCTTCACCCGACCCTCGAGAAGCACTATGTCTTGTCTTGCTCACAATTAAGACTTTCAGGGTACGAAATTGACGGCAAGCGAAAACGCGAAATACGCTCATTTGTACATCAATTCCAAAACAATCCGGCTAAACCTTTCGTTCATTAATCTTCGACTCAATGCGCTGCAGAAGCCGCTTCATTTTTCAGTTGATACGGTACCCAAGATATCGCAGGACATACTACTCACAAGCCTGTTGAAGTTTTCAGCAAATAACGTTCAGTCAAGAAAATGCTCCATCTCTTTTGAGCTTGGGATTTTGATCCAATAAATACGTGGACCATACTGAGAACTCATTCGTTTGGGCAAAGGCACACCCATGCCTTGAATGAATGTGACACCTGTAATTAATATTTGCAGTAATTAGGCAGTCTGGAGTGAAAGCCACTACTGAAGATTACTGAGGACAGGAAGAGAACTAATCAAGTCCGAGTGTCCCAACTAAGTAAAACGCAAGCCATTGTATAGTCTGCCAGCCTCACCAATCATGGTGCACCGTATTGAATAAAGGCGTTCAGATCAACAACACGGGATGGAACTACACTTCATTAGCAGCCAAGACATCACAGGCATAACACTTCCGTTAACTTTTACCTGTCCTGAAAGACACACTGACGTACCTAAGTGTCACCATACGAAGCCACTACGTATTAGCTAAACATCCACTAGCCTACAGGAACGGCTGGACCAGTGACACGGCGTGATTTTGTACTCAGTCGCCTATTCCATCTCAGTGATGATGCTAACCAGTGATAACCAGCGTACGCCAACAATACTTTGATCAGCCAGTTAAATTAGCTTTAAAACGGCTCAGTACGTTAAGGTTGACTCGAAGCCCAGGCGTTAGGTTTGGCAGTGATGCCTGCAAATGATCAGCTTACAATTATAGCGAATAACCCAGTGTTCTTATAGGAAAGCCAGCTAGTAAGTTTCAGACAGTTGTTTCAGAGTGCTTGCTTCCGGGAAGTGCTAACAAGGTTTCTATAGCACATTAGCACGCCAAGCAACATAGGGAACTGGGAGTAAAACACAAGCCTCGAATACCATCAAGACCAGAGTATGACCCAATAGAACAGCACTGTAAGCAACTAAATGGCTAACAATTCCATACTGTTGCAAAGATCACAGATAATCGGGCGCATTTTAACTTTTCCAGTCGACTTTCAACAGATCGAGTTGGATCGGGTAAGAATCGCACTCAAGCAAGCATATACCGCCCATGTAAGTTAGATATCAAACCAGCAGCCTCGCTATGGTATCTCAGCGTTTTTGTGAACAGGACACATCCATTCGTAATTACGTTGAGAAGTGAGAACATAATCAAGTGAGAACCTTGATGGTTGGTGACCAGAAGACGAGATCTGAACGACGGGAAAAAAGAATACAACAAAACCCAAACGTGATCAGGCGATCATGGCAGACTGCCTTCGTAATGAACATTCAACAGAATTCCAGAAACTCATCAGCCGATTGTGTGCGCAACCACACTTAATATCGTTCTTCGTTTCCGGGAGACCTCATAAGTTTTTAGCATAGCAAATAGTTTGTTTATTCGTTTTAAGACGATTGAAGCACAGCCATTGAAATAAAACTGGATAAAATTAACGGAATGTTCCCAACAATGGGGGGGGGGGGATAAAAAACCGAGGCAAATATAATGATCAATAAGCAAGACGCGTAGAAAATGCGAACAGTTATTTGTGGAATGCAACACCTATTGACGTACGCCCAGAGGAACCCTACCATCCTTTTGGCTCTGGGTGAAGCTGAATAGTTCTTAGTAGAATATCTTTTGCACGCACCAACATCTTCCGCCGGTAACCTGGGCCAAGACTATGAACACAATCTTGAAGGGTGGATATAAATTCGGAAGGCAGTCCATGCAGAAAACCACTGCATGAACGCGTTCCTTCATGACTCAGAAGAAGAGTGGCACAAACTGCCCATATGTTGTGGTCGGAATGGGCGTTAGAACATAGCTCATCCGCGTGTACGCGCGCCATACAGGGAGGCGTAGTGCCACCCGCATCACCCGACTTTGTCACATTGCCTTCACAGTCATGCGACGCAAGTCCTCTGGCAAGAAAGACTGTTGCGTTTGGGTTGACTACGTGCTCCTCGGTACTGGCATTCTTGTAGAGAGAAACCTGAAACAAAGAGAAGCACTGCAATGTTGCAAAGTTACACCTATGACGACAGATAAATTCACGAATTGGTATATAGGTGGTGGAGTGGCTGGAAAACCACATTCTAATGGAGGTAATTTGGAAATGTTCATCGGGTGACAGTTGACCGGGCAATAATAATCATCATCATCAGCTGTAATAACCGCGTACTCGTCGTACTGCAGTTGTAGCTGCCGCAGTTTCGTTCACCGATGGTTTGGGGGAGGGGTAGGTAGCTGCGAAGTATGAAAGCCATTACGAGCAAACTTAGCTGCGTTGGTCATTGCCGTTTTCCTGGATAGGGATCTCGAGACGGGCCACATCAATAGCTAGAGACATTGTCAGATATGGCCCAGTCGCGCCCTCAATGGCGCTCGTGCATCCAAGCTATTGCCTTCAATGCATAGCTCCTTTTCCAACCCCGTCATCACTTGACAGCCCACTGACAGTGCTGGTCAATAATCAGTCGGAATCGGATAGAGAACTGATAGTACGACAGCGTTTAGTGGCCTAACACCAAGTTCTAGAAAGTTGATAAAGAAGTACAATTCTTAAAAAATGTGGTTAGCTGATAAAGAAATCTGCATCTACCTGAACGCCTTGCAAGTATTTAGATAACCAGTGAGATCACGATAGACGTGAGGGTTCAGGATGACATTGAAGCTTTCCGACAACGTTGACAGATATTCCGTTATGTGAAAAAAGTAGGTATCTCCAAACGGAGAAAAAAGAGTGACATGACCTCAGCAAACCTAGGTATCCCTGAAACGAACATGGAGCGAATGAATACTACCAAATGCATGTATCGAAAAGATGGTGACTCGAGTAATCGGTTTGCCTCACTGGTCACTTGCGGTTTTATTACGCGTTTTCCTTAACTGCCTGCATGAGCCCAATTAGATCTACTTTGTGACCCGTGTAAATGTACACGGACGAAATGCGTGCACCTACAAGTCTTCCCGGTTTCAGAAGGGCCTGCTAAACAATCGGTGGTTTTTAATTGGGTAATATTTCGATTTCGACACTAAAGCCTCATTAGGCCAAGTGAGCAGGTCACCCAGTTCACTAATTTTTAAAGCAGACGGATAACCAGTCAGCAAGACCTATTCAGATTAGCCCACTAGGTTAGTGGTAAATGTCAGTTAACGGGTTTAGCCGGTTAGTGTGGTTGATGGGTTGGAAGTTCAAACTGTTTCTGATCAGGTTTGGTTCCTTGTTCTTCCGGTTTAATGTGCTTCAATTGATGATTCACCTTGAGTGCCGCTGGTAAATTCCGCTGGTCTGCGTGGGCCTTTAATTGCTACGACAGTTAGGGGGTGAGGGATGGACGGGACTGTGTCAGCTCGACTGATCTAAATCCGTTCCCCACGCGATTGACAGTTCCGAGCCTTCTATTCTTTTTACAGTGGGATGCTTGGCGAGTTCCACCATCTCTGGCACCAGTCTCTGTGGTGTGAAACGTCGATATTTGAGCATTAGATGAAAAAACTCTGACATTCCGACTCCGGCAAAGAAGAGAGGATTGTGAATGCATGCCAAAATTTCTTAACTAGCCAATATGGCCATTTCATATAATTATACAGCGACATCTGCTAAATATCACCTTACCAAAAAGCAACACCATTTTGCGAACGACCTTCCCCAGTCGCCTCTCATCGGGTAAATAAACGGAAAGCTAGGTTAAAATACCATACAACGCTGCGACATTGTTGTTATAAAAAACGGCGCCGCTATCTACGAGTGATGGGGGGTGAAATGGTGGTCCATGAAAATGGCAAAGATCTCACGCGTTTCCGTGCTGTCAAAGAGTGGAGTCATCTGTGCGATTAGCGATCACTTCAGCTGTTTCTAGCATCCATTGGCGAATGCCTTTCGACCGAGTTTTTCTAATTCAACAGAATACACTGAGTGACCCGGCCAAACTGATGCGGTAGTTCGTATCGGTCAGGCGAATAGCAATGACACTTGTCACGTGTTTGGCTGCTTCAGTTTTTTCGGAGAATCGATAAGTGCTCTCCGATTCTCTGAAACAGGGGCAATGCCGTTTGACCCACATAATTCGAGGGGAATTTGAAGATGAATACATAATCATACAGGAATCACGGATCGGCACTTCATTCCTTAGGTTAGTATTAGGCAATCGGCTACTACTGAAGTGTATCCCCAGCTGTTTTCTGTTCGACGTTCGCCTGTAGTTCTACTGAAGAGCAAATTCCTTTCCAGGGCGTTCTGATAAGTGGTTCAAAAAAAACATGGTTACAACAACCGCTCACAAAAGCTTTTCTCTTCTTACAACTATCACAACTCTGAGAAAAAGTAACGCGAGATCAGCCTCAAAACACATAGTCCAACATATTCTATTCCCGCATTCAGCTAATCGTGATGTGGCTATGTTAAAGGTGGCCAAGTCGTAGAGCGGCAACGCTGTCGAAAGTTAGTAGTTAAGAGCTCCGGTGGAACAAGAGCCGTATGGTAAAATGTGCGAAATATATATGTCTGAGTTGTTGTTGGATGACCCATTATATCTTAAGGCCCCCGGTTAGGATTACGAGGGTCATCCGGTGTCATCCCGGAATATGGTGAGTGGACGTTTCGTATTGACACAGGAGAAAGCCCTTTCGTGAACAAGAAAGATTTGGCCAGCTGATAGATGTGCATTGATGAATAAAAACGGAATATGCACTAGTACAAAAATAATAAACAAAGACTGAGTGGGTAAAGAGCGCATACTGGTCACTTTGCGAAATAGCAACAACCTTGGTCGTCGGCTTGTTCGCTGAGCTGGGCAATTTGGTTGCAACCGAATTGCTCAGCTCAGCCAACGACCATTTACACTACCTGAGCTACCGACATTCTCCTCTATAGAAAAGCAACAACCTTAGAAGTGCACTGTGCACGAGTGAAACAGCGCTTGGGTAAAATAAAAATATAATGAAAAACTAATTGTTCAGCCATAACACCCTACATGTACCTAGCTGCTATGCCATTCCGAAAGAAACACGAGAGCTGGGATAGAGCTAGGAGCAGTCGAGATGCAGATATTGGGTTCGAACCACGGACCTTCTGGTCCGTAACCTGGCGCCTTAACCACTGAGCTATCCCGAGCTCTTCCGCTACCCGACCTGATGACGGGCCTGAGGCCAGTATTCTGATCCGTTAACCACCTGCTAGCTCCAACCAGACAGTTACTGCTTATTCTTGCAGAAGCATCAGTCAAGTTGATGATAGGTTTGAGGGGGTAAGTAGTGTTGGATAGCCAGGGCCAAAAGAGTTTTTTTCTCAAGGGTGCGTGGAAACTCCGGTCGAGGAACCTAGTCCGTAAGAGAATGAGCCTGAATGGCACGAAGTTGGCTGTGCGGGGAGTCGGTGACCAGAGGTAGTTCCAAAACCATGTGATCCACATTTGGGTAGTCTCGGGCCACGACGTTTCAATCGGTAGATAAGTTAAACCTCGTACGCCAATCATGCCGTCTGCCAAGAATTCGATGGTGAACTCATTATTCCAGGAGTAACAGTGACCAATCTAGCTGTCCCCACATATTCTGCCAACCTTGTACCAATGGAATCAGTGGTTTCATCCAGACTCTGTTACGATAGTCATTGGAATCTGCGACTTTTGATAGAGCTGACTGACTGCACAGAGCCCATGAAGCTTTAGAAGTACCACCATTACCTGTTCACGGTTGATCAGTTAGCATGAGCGGCTTATTCGTAACTAACCACACAATGGGCTCACCCCCAATGTCCACAGCGGGAGACTCACCCGCAGACACAGCTGTGCGCGATCCCGAATATTGCATGCACCCGGGTGACTAGGAATCAATAGCAGTCGAGACGATTCTCATAATTCTCATACGCCTATTCAGTCTATGCAGATCTCAGTAAACCCATTGTCCTAAATTGCACGACTGAAGTCTATCATCGTACACGCTGATACTACAGGTAGATACTTCCAACGTGGCATCTGCCCTAACTGAGCTGCACAAACGAGCAGAATCTGAGAAAGAGATGTAGGGTCAGACCAGTGAACTATAGTAGGAATTCTCCAGAGCATTATTTTGATCCACAGTCAACATCGGAAAGGTATCTGACATATGTCTGATCCATTATATTTCGAATATTCCTCTGTAGTAACACTGGTGCTTGTCACAATGGTCAAACTCAGTAGACCTGACACGTCAAAAACCGTAAGTGAAATGTGCAGAGTGGTGAATCATTCGGGATGAATTTGGCGAATAACGCCTAGACGGTAGAAGTTGAACGGAATTCTTGGGATGAGGCACACATGATCACAACCGTAGATCCATACACAGCACTCACGTTCCCGGTGTTGGTTTGCCTATAGGCTGGCTGACCGTGTTTGGAGCCACAAACAACTCGAGACAGAACAAGCTCTTATACAGACATATGGCAATAGCATTTCTACAAAACCGATGATGGTGACCCGTTTGTTTCAGTTTGCTTCTTGTCTGTAGACATACGGCCGACGGTTGGATGAAAACACCTAGATGAACAAGAACCAAGCGGCAAAGCATGAACCAATCACAATGGGTACCTTCGCACCCATAGTCACGTGAGAACAGTAAGACTGGCAAACAGGAATCGTTTTCATGTGTGTTTGGGTCGAAATAAATGACCGTGTGAAACAACCGTCAATGGATTCATCCAGGAAGAAAGCTTTAGGTCCATGGGTTTGGGTAATACTGTAGAATAAACATTTGTAATTCGCCGCTCAAGCTGACATTTGTTGGGCCAGCTGAATAAATTCCAACACAATTCATTCGAAGTTACCTATGCTATTAGATTCCAGTAAAGGGAAATTTAAAGTCAACGTTGACGAAAGACTGGTATGGTCGATGGAAGTACCAACAGCTAGACATTCTTCTAATGAAAGTCATTTGGGTAGTGTCCACGTCGTAGAAGGGTCGCGTACCGTTAAAAAGTGACTAATCACCCTAAGCTTTGCACTAAAGACTCGATATCAAAACCGAGATTCCTACATTGGCTTTACACCTAGACCCAATTCAATCAACAAAGTATGCAACACGCTGGTAGAACGGGCCATAAAAGTAGCGTATATCTAACTGTGTCGGCGTTGAAAATCGCACCGGATTTTTATCAGACGATAACCTTGTAGTGGGTGTCTAGGCATATTCACTATGTTCCACAGAATAATAGTATGCACATTAGGCATACGATAGAAACGGCTCGTACAGATCGAGGTCGAAGATATACAAAGTGCGGAAGGACGGTGGGCATGTTTTAATCGTTTTGAGTCCCAGCTGTTGTAGGTACGAAACTGTCCCATCATACTGAAAGTCATCCCGCTTCACAGTTACGTACTACGAGTGACTATAAAAATAAGATGAAATGTATGCGATCGCAATTCACCTTAGGAAAAGACATGACAAAAACTAGACGCTATGCGACCGTGTAGAACGAGCCCATCTCGGGAAAAAGCACAATGAGTAAGACCGGATGATGAACGTGGGACTTACCGCATGAGTATCCACGATGATCGCGTGACGGAGGTTTGCAACGGTTACATTATATGATTGTGGATCTACCGTGAACAGTGAAGGAAGATCGAAATTCCCCAGATAGATGGCGTAACCACTTGTGGAGTCATCGGGTGCATCCAATACGTACTTTGAACCGGTATAGCCGCTTCGTTCCAAGCGAGCCGGTATATCCATTATATTGAGTAGCAGACGAAGTCTAAGCCACAGAGGTGACTGGAAAAAGGACAATTTTTATATGCTCAATCATCAGGGCCAACAAAACATAATTACTGTGATAATATGTGACGACTGAAGCTGCTTAAATCAATTTGTCGACAACACTTATTGGTACAGTCAACTAACCAAAGAAAGACTAGCGAGTTAACGGATGAAGCGCTGTTTGAACCTATTCGACATCAGTATCTGTATACATTAGTCCATCTATAAGGACCGATTCCCGTGACATTTTATACTCTCCCTGTCCAAGGAAGGAAACTCTTGAGAATTATACAGAAAATATTTCTTGCTTTCCGAAATGACTTACTGCCCTCAGCCCAAGAGCGAACGTTACATCGTCACCGGACTGTATTTACAAGCCATTTGTTAGACAAGAAAGACGGCTCTTTCCAGCACTACGGTTACACTCTCTGGTGACAACGCTCCTCTGGGCACGATTCAGCTTGACGTCAGTTGGATATACGAGCATTTTTCAACCTACTATAGTTGTACTATTGATTGAACAAACTGAATCTCGAAAAAATCATCAGTTTCAATTAAAACCACATTCCACATTGCAAATGAGTCAAATCAAGTGAAAAGAAACAAGGAGTTCAACCCGCAGATAATGGTAAGTGATGATCAACTGAGTTAAGTTCCCAGGAAACTGGCAAATGAGATATTCTAGGTTCAGTGCTGAAAGCGGCTCTGCTCAACGCCTTATATGTCCCCTGCTGCCTTGCAGATTGCAGTTCAAACGCTGAAATCACAATCACGAACAAAAGACGAGGAACTGCAGGATTATATTCAGCGCACAAGTCCCTATTGATCATCCAGCGCGAGACAGCTGCACAGTCGCGTATAAGGAGACGACTGATCCTTTCGCAGTTGACCGCAAGCAAACCAAATGATAAGCAAGTGAGTTATTCGTAACACCACCTAGGCGCGGACATTCACACAGTACCTTGGTCCCCGTACTTTCTTTGCATCACATGACAGGTGAGCACTAAAATGGAGCGACGGAAGAACTACTTGATTAAGTTGGAAGCGAGAGATACCCACAGAGAAGTGTTGTGTATAAATTAAGATGACGAGAATGGCAGTCAGGCGTAGTGGCGCAGTCATCCTGTAAGCAGGACTGTTCCTTAGCTCAATTATCGTACTTTCTAAGGTCTGTTCATCGAAGATCTCTGATCGATGGAACACAAAGGTTGTTACAAACGTGGCTGTCGTTAGAAATAGTTACAGACGGACTGGAAAAAAGGTATACAGTGAACAATGTCAAAATAAGTTGGAGTAGCCGATATTCGACGCGCTAGGCTCGAAGGTGAATTCTAAGCTCTGCCAATAGCCTATTTGTAACCTACGCCCTGAAATGCCTTACGAATGCACACCAACTTCAACACACTCAAAAGAAACTGCTTAGCAGGCCGTATTGTGAAACGATCCTCAGAGGAGCGACACTGATCTCTTTATCGTACCTTTTCAGTCTGGACTGTCAGTAAGCACCCACGGTAGTAGCAGAAGGTGATAATACTCAGTGATTAGAGCGCGAATTGACTGACAGCGAGGTTCGTGGTTCGAACCCAACCTCTGCCTCTCGACTTCTCCTGTCTAGACTTGGGCAACCTGGCAATATCTCAGCCCTCGTGCTTCCTTTGGGTGGCATGGTAGCTAGGTGACAAAAATGTGTTGCAGTTGAACGATTTTTATTTACCATGGTAATGGTACTAGCGGCTGAAACTAAGCAGCGACTCGTTCTAAACCAAAACTAGGATAAGACCACATTGTTTTTAAAAACCATAGGATAGAAAAACCATAAGATAGAGAACATACATCACAAAAACGGAGCAGCGGGACACCATGATAATTCTGCACTGTCCACCGGCCACAAGCACCAATATAGGTGGGGAACGGCCATCCCTCAGTACGAGGAAAAGCTTGCCAAATAACAGCTTGTGGATCCACAGCAAGATTGAAGAGAAACATCAGTTCGTCGAATCGAAGCCATCGGGTTTCAGCACCAAAGCTCGTACGCTCTCGAAATCTGTGATGATACAATCGAAATATGACCTGGTAGCCGTATATGGAGAAATGACACATGCATGAAAAATGAATCAAGTGCATTACCTCGATTGTAGAAGACGGAACAAGCGATCATTAGCACATCTAGTGGCGGGAGAAAAGGCGGTCGGCATAACACGACTAGCCCAGTTATCTTCTACCAAAGTTGGATCACGGTCCTGTGGAGGGAGAAAAACCGGAGCAGCAACAATACCTCGGTGTAGTGGGAGATCTACAGGGTCGCCATTCGTGCCCTCCACCGGGTCGTTTGTAGGACGCCAACGCCAGATTGCTAGGTGTGGGATACATCTTAACTTGGCTCGGGCAACCTCACTAGCTCCTGGTAAGCCATGCTGAGGGCCACGGCGGCATACTGCATCATCAACCACCTCCGGAGGGGCAGGATTACCAACACGGCGTAAGTGAACCTTTCGCGCCGTTTCATAGAGACCTAGAAATGACAATCGGTCAATAGCTCGGATCAGCTTAATTCTGTATATAGGGGAATCCACTTCATTGTACATTGCATCAGTAAAAAAATTGCCAACAAGAATAGATATGATATAAAGAGTAGTTATCCACAAAACAGCCAAAAAGTTTCTAAAACAGCATTTTCATTTCATTTCCTAAGAGGATTTCTATGTGTACAATTGTCTTGAGAGGGGTGCAGTTAAAAGAAACTCCGTAAAAATTCTTCTGACAACTTGTACAAATGTGGTATCTATAATAGAGAAAAAGGGCAGAAGTCTTACTTTCTGTCTTCCGAAGTGTTTTTGTGGGACAATAAGGTTTCCCGTTTATGGAGCAAGTGAAATAGGGTACACCAAGTGAAGCTCAAGCGTAAGCGGGCTACCCCAAAATGGACGAACAGTACATTAGTTAAATCATATCCCGCTCACAGATTATTACTTTTGATGGGTCGGAGAGTGGAGTAACAAATAAATCGCGACTGATTCTAACACCTATTCCAACAAACACTAGTTTCTATTAGATGCTCTGTTTCCATAGGTGATTGGTTCCTTCTTGAGGGATATTCCCAAAATCCATGAGGCTTGTAGGAGTAAAAAATGCCATGCTGTAGAAACATACTTATCGGATATCGTTAGGCGGTGAGTCCCCGTGTACTGCACGTCACACCGACCTTGTTAGTCCGAATATCAAACGAGAAGACTTGTGGCCGCGGAATACAGTAACCCCACGCGGATGGTGAGAGGGCACAGTTATCCCCCAAGTTATCACTGGTACTTGCAGATAACTAAAATAACTCTGTTGCTGTATGCATACTAAGCATTTTATCGCGTTTCCTTAAGTTCAATGAGCACGCTGTACGATTTCCCTGTCACCTCTGACCATGATCTGCTAATGACATCAATTTGAATGAAACACATGACGCGTCAGAGAGCGAATCCCACTATTTCCAATGAAGGCCGGTATCTGGACAGCGCAACTGATTTACAGTGATCCACCTTCACACATTGAAGCTGGGAGTGACGATGAGGTAGCATACGTCGCATTCTCACAAACAGTCAAACAGGTGAGGAAATGTCGCACATCGTGTTCGAACTTTAACATTGAAGCTCTGCATAAACAGTCCCAACTGTACCAGATTGAGTCGAATAAGCTTGGAAAGATAAAGAGATTGATGCTGTGATGAGGTGTTGGTACGGTAAAGGGAAATAGGAAAAGGGTCAGGCAAATAGCGTGAACTTGCCACCTATTGATGACAAACTGACAGCTGACAAGGGACGCTCGGCTTGTTGTTAGACAACTGGCGAAGCTGCGACCCAACACATTCACAACCTCTGTGTGACCATACACAGTTTGTGTTAAATTTAGGCCCGTTATGACTATTCATCTATGTGTCAAGGGAAATCAGGCTGTCATTACTATTTTCACCTTTTAAGAGACCAGCCACCGACGGTGTGGTGTCAAGGAAACTTAATTAGTTAGCCTTGATATGGTACAGGACGCAGGAATTATCACAATCAAGTATGGATTGAATGGTAGATAGGGGTCCGAGTGTAACACTTTCCATTTAAATGATCCCGGCTGGCAAATTTAGTTCGTCGTGGTACAGTAGAGGTGGCACTCACACTTGAGAACTGTATTTATCTCTTTGAACGAAACCTGGGTGAGAACGATGGCGAATCCGTTGAAAACGGAAAAATGAGGGTGTTAGAAAAGAGTAGAGATCTAATAAGGTCTCAACAGAACATCAGTCCAAGCAATGGAATGATTATGAATGACGCCCCGTCAATGAAGTGGGTGGTTTTTTTTGCTTTTCCGGATGATCATCCAGTTCTAATGAAACTGACTTACGAAGTTTGTCGCCACGGTATACTTACTACAAGTGAGATGTTTGCAAGATTGCCAACTAGCAGTTTGATCTCGATAGAGCTCAGTGGTTAAGGCGCGAACTAACCAGAAAGTCCGTGGCTCAAACCCAACCTCAGCAACTCGCCTGCTCTCCGACCTCCTGCTTCCTTCGAGTGGCATGGCTGCTAGGCACCAAGGTGATACAACTGAATGATTATTATAAGCTCTCGAAATGTATTGCTTGGTATGCACAGTGGGGAAGATCGATATAATCGTATTATAGGTAGGTAAAAATGGCACTATCTAGCTTTTCACAGTGTCGCTGAACAAACACGGACACGAAACCGCAGGATTAACGCTCAGCTAGGAAGAAAAACTGTTCACTGCATCCGGTGAGTACCCCCGAAAACGACCCCCAAAAGTGGTCTTTACAGGAGCGAATTTTCTAAAAAGCCCCACAAATTGACGTTGGTTAGTATCGCACTATTCCACAGACTACCGTACTGAAGATACTCTATTCCGTACGCAGCAATGAACAACTGAGAAGAAGATCATCTGACGCTAATACTTGGCTTCACTGAAGATATGGAGATAACAAAGGCACAGATACGGCAGCTGAACAAACGAAGTCGACGTATGAACTAAGAGCGAAAATGTCGACATGCAAATCTGTCGTTACGTGCGTTCGATAAGCTTAAGCTGCAGCAGACCATGTTTCAAATCAAATGAAACGGTAAATCAAATGCAACTGCGACTCACGGAGCGGAGCGAAATCAACCTTGTAGTGATTGGTGGTAGTTACAGGACGTGTCTAGGTTTACCTAATACGGTGACAGCCATATAAACAAATCGAGATGCCGTGAAGCATCCTTTATTTTTATTTAAACCAACTGAATGTACCAAAAGCCGCCTTTTCCAGAGCAAACATATTTACAAGAGCCATATTGCGGACTTTAGAAAGTCGAATAGAAGCGACAGGTTAGTACTCACCCATAGTACCATCCAGGCCAAAGGAAGCTGAATGAAAGAGATGGGCCAGACGACTGTGATATATCCCACTGAAGGACACATCACCACGGAAGAATGCAGGGCAGATCGACTGACCGGCACAACCGGGACACTTCTTAGCCTCCAAAATATCGACATCCACGGCGGCGTTAGTCAATACGTAGTAGTTCAAGAGGATGCACGTGGTAATGAGGACAACGATGCCAAGAATACTGAAGATCACGAAGATTACACAACGTGAGTAGCGTGATTCGTCACGTTTTACTGCGCGTCGCTTGTAGGCAACTTCATTGTGCTTTTTCTCATCCTTTGTAACAGAAAAACTATCACGTTTCAAGTGGTGATACATGTAAATATTTAACACAAAGGCTAGACGGCAGCCAATATGCCATAAGTACTCTGTCGAAAGAATAGCCCATATAACTCTACAGTGTGAAAAATGGAGATTTTTTAAACCGCGGACTACAAACTGGAGTGGTGTACGCGGTGACCTGGCAATTACACACATTCTGCATAAAAACGGGTTGCATGCAAAGTTCAAGAGGGAAAACACAGCAACACGAAATGTTCGGTAACCAATCTGACCGGATTTGTACACAAAGTGCGGTCACGGGTCGACAGCATAGAATTCGCACTTGTTGATCTGATCGAACAGAATGAATTCAGAAGTTTGGATACTCCGAAAACCGTACATAGGAATAGGTCGTGGTGTCCTGTACACTGTGACCGATCGACGCACGGTCATCGTTTAGAAACGTCTTGTTTCGGTGTGCAGGCTTGTGTGGATGACCAACCGAGATGATGAGAAATGAAGCACGAATAGCTGGCATCCCAATCGGATGTGCCAGTAGTGATCAAATCACCTGTACGCAGTGAGAAGCTACAGACAGTTTGTACGGAGTCTACTTTGGTGTTGATGTAAACTTGGGGAATAAGATAGTCGGGCAGAAGTAAAATATGGGTGACAGATACATCAAGAAGGCTGAGATAGTCTTACCCGCCTGGCACCAAAGTTGGGGTAACATTCTGCTGAGCGAGCTTTGAGAACACACTTGAGTGAAACCTACACCACTAGCGGAAACAGTTAATATGTCGCTCACCTATGGGATCCACGCTTACACACATGCTATCATACAGTTTACTCGAATACCTCACTGAAAGTCTCTTGTCAGGGGCCCTGTGCTTACACAGTGTGAGTCTTAAGACCCTACAGTGACTCCATCATATGCCTCGGTCGATCGGCACCACCTAAGTCACTGCGTGCTTTCTCGTTATGCAGCTCAACAAAAGAAATATCACAGCTAGATATCAAACTGATGCGGTGTGAAGTAAAATGCAGGAAATTGTGTTATCAAACACAAAAACCGTTACTTCATCCTGTGCGCAAATGTTCGAACTGTTGCCAAACTCAGCCGACGAGGATGGAATGCCAAAGATACATGTTCGGCATAGGCAATAAGTTGGTGACTACGCATGCTTCAGGGACCCAATGCCCACAATAGAAAACTCTGGCAACACAGGGCTTGGAGGGGTAACGTCCAAGATAGTTGACACGAATATAGTGTTCGCGCTATACCAACTCAACTCAGCAGTGGAGCTACCTAAGTTTTCTCGCGAAGGATCAATGAATGCGGCTCGACAGCACAAACTGATGAAATTTGCTACGTCACCCCTGGTGACCGAGTTCCACTAGAAAGGACCAAGGGAAATCGCACTCTACCCGGCGCTGGAAGGATGAGTATAAATTGCCGTGACTGTTCGGAACCACGAGCTGTCTGAAGAAATTTTTTCAATGAAGTAGTGATTTAAATCGAATGATCAAATCCCCGGAAAAACGTGCAACACAGTCCCTTGTACACACCAACAGTGAAAAGTGTAGAAGTACACATCTTCGAACAACTCACCTGAGAAAGAAAAGGCACGCGGTGGCCGACTTGCGTGAATTCATCCATCTGTAAGAAAAAGCAGAAGTTTTCATCGCTCACAATGCCCCACAGTTCGACAAGCGCACATCCACACCAGTTTATTAGGAAGCAAAAATACTGTGAACATAAGGAAACGGGTGGGCTTTGTATTAATTTTTCAGATATTTCGAGAGATGTACACTTCCGATTAGACAATGACGATAAGATAACAGATATTCGTTCAGCCATATTTTGCAGTATGCTGAAGTCACTACGCTTCCAAGCACACCAATCCAGCATAGCGTCCGGATTAATCATAATTTGTTAATGAAAGAAATACGTGTTGAGACATTGATGCTTTGCTTATACATCAGCATTTGATGGAATTTTGATGCCTAAAAGTCAAAAAGGGAGGAAATAGTGCTGCCTATCCCAAACATTCGAGGCGACCGTAACTCTAGCGCTGGGCCACTGTGGATAGAGATTAGCAAAACTCACACCACTGATTTCGTGAATCCCCTCATTCCCCGCTTAACAAGTAACTTCAGTTTGTCATTTCAAACAGCACGAAAAACCATGCCCTTCTCACTGGACATCAAACTATCACGCATGCAAGGTGTCCAGTCCGCGCAACTAATGCACTGAACATGTTCCTAGGTGGAACACAGCTGCCACGCCGCATTGCTGAGAGCTCTCCGAAACCATCCTGTCGCATAGGGTTCTGACATTCAGATGAGAAATTATCCGAACAAATTGTAAACACTACACAGCCCCTTCCTAAAGGCCCGAACTCCAGTCCAGTACTTGCAAGCCTCGAGACTCAATTGTATGCTTGTTGGTACCGCGAGTGGAGAAAAATTCGAAAGGGTCAAAAGTAGTGCACTGGTCGTCAAAATAACATTTAAGAATACTCATAAACCGTCCGACAAACTCAAGGAATTTCAACAGGCACGTACGTAAGATATGTGCTCACACCTCGCATTGACACACTACCTATAAATTTGATGGTAGCTGTTCAACCATCCGCTTTGTCCTGCTTGGGACTCAGAAAGGGAGCGTAGCCCCGAATCTCCATTATTTTATTCCGCATACCCAAGTGGATGTGATAGAAGTTACGACCTACTTTGCAAATTAGGACGGCAATAACGTCAAACTCTATCTTTCGTTCATGATATTCTGTTACTTCAGACCGCATTCAGAACGATGCGGGGTAGATTAATCAGCTATGTCCTTCCATGCCTTTCACTACGAAGACAATGTAATTCGGACATTCTAAGCCAGAGTTCATCACAGTCATGTCATAGGGACCGTGTTTGCTGGTAATCACGTAACATGCTGGTACAGCAATGGGGTTACCATAAGCGAGTGATTATAGAAATAATGTAAGCTCAACTGTCCGGGTCGGATATCTCGCAATCCACTCGCACATTTACTCAGATGATCCCATGCACGATGTGATGGGCTTATGCTCAAGACGTGTCAACCGCTAAGCGGATGCGTGAATAATAACACACGTTGGACGTTTTGAATCACGGGAGTTGGTTGAGGACTGGATAGCGTCATCGCACAAGACAAAGTAGTGAATCCAGCTGAGTGAATAACTTGAGCGCCGTGAATTTAACTCATCTTCCCCTCTCTAATACACTTGCTAAGGTTTATCAAGTTGCAACATCTCCCTCAGTTTAGCCGGATAAACCGTCTGCTGCTCTGGGGTTCGCGAATCACCAACAAGCACTCGCTTCATTGCGAACACACAACTCTCCAGTGTTATACGACTAAGAAACCAGCGCGCACATGCCTAAAGACTTCAAAATATCCGGACAGTAGTATCCAAATTTCAAGGACAGTAAGTTTGCTATGATAAATGTCCTGTCCATACTTCCACCTACCTAGGGTGAAGTCAACTTAACACCAAAGATGACGCAAGTTGGTGAATATTTGCTAGCGTGATAAGGGCTGCATTAACCTCATCGGTCACACAGTATAACAATCGCCCATATGATTACCATGATAGGTAGAACAGATTAACTCTAGCTTTCTATTGTTACATGGGAACACAAGAGAATTAGTACAGCCGAACGCATCTAAAGAAGCATCGCTTAAGAGATAGATCGTTTGTTTGGCAGAACCTTGATTGGGAAGTAGGTAATCTGGACGCTTAGGCGAGCAGTTGATGAGTAGAGAGAAGCCCGCTGCACTAATTGTTAGACGGAATTCCGCACCGGTATCGCTCGCAGTTAGGCGCTACTACGGCCAAGGGGAATGGTCAGAAGAGCGGACCGCTTGCTGGTCCAGCATCAAGGTGAACTCTGATTGCCTAAGAGTCTGGACCCAACAGCCGATCATGATTAGCCGCATGCTGGTTGCCAAATTCGCATTCAGGCGTCTGAATTACCAGAATATTATCGCCGCGCATACTTTATACACTGGGCCCTGCATGTTTTGACCTGTTTTGGAGATCCAATACACGTGCACCGAGAACTAAGCTGAGAAATAGCGTTATCAAAATTGGCGGCATTCACACTAATATGAGTTACATTGGCTGCCCAAAACACTCCACGTCACACAGAGCATACAACTAATTTGTGGTGCTGCAGTAGGGCTCAAAACCCTTGATTCACTCTGCTCGATCCATATTGAAACTTCTTAGGGAAAAAATGGAGACTACATGAGATAATCATTCAAAGTTTGCACCATCATTGGACACCGAGCAACCGTTCATTTCATCGGCTATCTAATGTAACAAATGTAAATTGAAGACTTATAAACCGCCAGAAGGTTTCAAACTTAAATAGATAATCACAGCGAAAGCAGAAGTGAAAACAACTAGGAAACTATATACTGTATTTTAAAATATCTGAATATCAATAAACACGCATGTACTTGTCTCTCACTACAAACTGGGACATTTTTACACGGTAAAAATGAACATATGCAATAGTGAAGGACAAAATGGTTTTCTCTGGTGAATAAATGCGGGCATCTTCTTGGGTTTAGATTTACAAATTGAGAGATATTTGCACTCGTGTTGAAAAGATGCATTATGAAAAATGATTCACAAGGGTACAGTAGATACACCAGTAAAACCGGGCATTCCAACGGCGATTCATTCAGGACTGTGCCAAGTACTGCAAAAAGATTAAGATTTAATAAGTTACTGAGCGAGACAAAATAAGACAGAATAAAACCATGAAAACTGATACTGTTCCAGCCTTCAGGATGGGATGCGATTTGGCCAAGAGAGATTATGTTCAGAAAGCAACTAGTTCAGCATTAAATGAATTTCTACAAGCAGACAATCAGTGGACCGACTTCTGTTCCCAAATTTATCTATCTACTCCCGTGAAGGAAGTCAAACGACTGGTTGTTGTTCTGTTCACCGAGTTTAACAATTCACTGTTAATGTTTCGCCACCAACCGAAGAAACATCATCAGTGCATAGTTGGGTGCGGCGAACTACCAGTCTTTGGGTACACTGTCAACATCAAACGCAGTTTCTACTAAGGTGTGCATGGAAACCACTGGATACTGTTTAACGTATGTAAACGTAAAATAAGACCGGGGTTCGGATGGAAGATGGTAGTTCGGAAACATCAGCATTTCTAACGATGTATATGATAAAGAACAGCATCTAGATTGCAGGGCTGAAAATTTCAAGTAACAACTCGGTTGGCCATCCGCCCCTGTACCTACGACTTTCATTCAACTGGTTCATTTTGAGCCGTGGTCAGATTTAGCCCCCACCAGATTCTGAATAATATGCTCTTCTGCCTTGAACCACCATCGGGTTATTGAGCGAGATTAACCTCACCCGACGTTATTCAATAATGGCGGAGAATCCTAATGTTCTGCCTTGACTATCCGGTTCATACACATTTGGGAACAAGGACATATTACAGAGAATTGGGACCAATCACTGATCGCACATGGTCAATGGTTCAAAAAGGTTAGATGAATTGACTACCCCGACCTTAAGGGCCTAAGTCTCACATATATTGTACCACAGCAACTGTCTATCCCTATGTTACGACAACTGTCTTCGGCCAGCGAGACGAAGGTCTGAGGATGTCAACAGAAGTTTGGAGGGGTAGGGAATGCATTGAATATTTATTTACGTCAAGTCCTTGAGCAGCGCCAAGCATACCAACAATTACAGTCCTTCTCGACTTTAAAGGGGGTTTCGATTGTGTGAACAGGACGGATTTTCTAAATATTCTCAACCAGAAAGAGAAAGTGTCTGAGGCTCGTAAACATTCTTCGTACCCAGTATATCTATACCCCCAATCGGATCGGGATGTACAATGGAGTGTCCAGAAGCTTGGTCACAACAAATCCCAAAGTGTATGGCATGCAACGGATCAGAGCGGTCCCAATGATGTCATTTCCAGCCGGACTGTCTAGTTGAAGTCTAGCTGTTTTTTTGTGAACTGGGCGGGCGCAGTTTGCGAAGAATGCTGGACCACCACTGTCAATGGTACTTTAATTTGACATGACGCTCAGATGTGCATATTACGACGCTGACCAAAGATTTACGTAACCTAATTCTTCACCATTTCATTCAAGAATATAGGAATTTATACCTGAACACCCTTTACTATGGCTTTCTTTTCTCATGGTCGTATGATGATTCAGAGGAAACTAATAACCATCTGAAGACGCTTCCCCTGGTTGACATGCAACGATCGATTGCCAGCTTTGCGGTAGCATTAGGGGTCCAGCCCATGAACGGATACCAGATGAAGCTCTAGACGCATCAGTGAAAACGCCAAAATCCGAGTTGCATGGCAGCAAGGCACCGGGTGTTACAGTAGGATTATGTCTACCAGCAAGTCGTCTGATATGGTGGAAATACAAATCCAACAGAGTCCGACCAAATTCCATATGCATGGGTCGCGTGCAACCATATATATATATATATATATATATAT